TATATATATATATATATATATATATATATATATATAGAGAGAGAGAGAGAGAGAGAGAGAGAGAGAGAGAGAGAGAGGCTTGTGTGCATGTCTGAGTAAGTTAGGTTGAGGGATAGAGGTATGTGCCTGTTGCTTGTTGGCGTCCATAGTCGCCTTCACAGTTGTATAGAACTGGATGTGTCAAAAAATTTGAGTCACAAGTCATCTTGAGGTGCGTTAAACTTGCGTGAAGGGCGAGTTATGTGTGGAGCTTCATGTGTGTGTGGATTTGGTGAATTGTGAGTGTGAAGGGCTGTGGGAAAGCTTGGATCATTGAAGTGGTATCAGAGCAGTCTCTCGTTGTCTTCCAGTGTTTAAGGAGGTGGCGCATGAAGATGGTGTACCACCATGCGAGGAATAAGGCCGGTGGGCGACCCAAAGACAAAGAAAAAAAGGAGAAATAGAAAGGCGGAGAAAGACGATTGGTTGGAAGCAGCAGAAGGTGGAAAGAAGGGCGAACAGAGGAGAAGCTTACCTGCAGCATGAAGTGTGGAGAGTAGAGTCGAGCAAGGACATTTTCATCAATCTTCGGAGTGAAGTGTTTCCTAACCGTAACCCTTGTATGTGCTGCATGATCTTGTTTTAATTGTCTGGAAGTTGCTCGACCTTTCCTGGAAGTTGAGCTGCTGTCATCAATTTTTGTTGTCGTCAATTAGGTCTTAAGACTCTGAAGTCTGTCATGTAGGGTGCATGCATAGATAGGTAGGGTCAACCTGCCAAAAGCGAGCTTGTAAATCAGCTGCACGGGCATGAGTGACATGCGATCGTTCAAAAAGCATGTCTAGCCGTAAGACAGGTACTGACGGGCATGCATATGAACCTCGTCCGCACGAGCGTTGACCAGTCCTAAGAGTCGAGAGGAAGTGGTTATACCGCCTGGCCTTGTGGTCCTCTCTGTGATGTAAAAGAAGTCTTGAGGACTTTGCAGACTGTCCTTAAATTTGCTGCTAGCCAGTGAACACAATCCGCCATAGCCCAGCAGTAATATGGGTAGGTCTAAGTGATCGGAGGAATTGGAATGGGGCCATACCTTGACTGACTGTTGTACATGGATGATTACCTGATGCACACTCCCCTGATCTTCTCCATCATTTAGTGACCTTTGTTGCAATCCATCTTCCCGCTACGATGCCCTTGACAAAGCTGTATGCCTCGTATGACTTTGACATTGAATTGAACCAGTACAAGGTAAGTACAATGTCGTTGCTGATGTGCTGTCTAGGTAAACTTCTTTGAGATGATCCCACCTACCTAGATGCAGGACGCCGCTTATTAGAGCACTAAAGCTTGACAGAAGTGGAAATTCTTCGTCAATGGAGAAGATTCAAAGTGGTAATCCAGACCAATACTGACAGGAGCAAGAACAGTAGGCCACATTCATACGGGCATGGCTTTGACGAGGCAAGCTGACGGAAGTCACTGGAATAACTGTTCGATGGAAACATAGACATAATTCTGACCCAAAACCGGAGAGACTAGGGGCCCATCTGCACGTGACAGGCAGGAAGGCTCATCAACAACGCGGAGCCATCTCTACAGGCAAGAAGAAGGGGAATTCGGTCAATGTTGACCCAAGGATGTCAAACGTGATGTATGGGGACGTGAGCTCCACAGGGAAATGATGATGCGGATCTCTCCATGGATTCTGGGTCTTAAAGTCTAGATGGCAGACTCGGTTACCGAGCCTGAGAGCAATCATATGAGGGAAGCTGCAGTCAATACTCTATGAAAATAGAGTAATCAATGCTGTCCAGGGATCCTGAGGCCCAGGCAAGAATGCGCGTGTGAGTGCATTTGTTGTAATTTTATCACTTGCCGGTGGAAAAGGAACTGGACTGACGCTCCCCAGAATGGAAAAGGAGCCAGGACCATAAGCACCTGTTTAATAAATAAAAAGAAAGAAGAAGCACAATCGAGTAACACAATTTAACTCCATGATCCGGGAATACAGAAGTTCTGAACAATAACTCCCTCGAAGATTGTCTCACCAAAGCTCCTGAAACTCAGCCCTCCAGGGTTGGCCACTGAGAACCACCATGGAAAATAGCTAGCTCATCAGCGCCGTTCAATGCCCTCCATGGTTTCGCTGACTCCACCAGGCTAGCTCATCAGAGGGAGCGTAACCATATCATATTCCTTCTGAAGGGGCAACAGACAGAAAGTTTCGGACCAGGAAGAGGTGCACGGAGAAGATGAGAGACAAGGACAGCAGAAGGGCATGATGCATTACCAACTGTTCCCGTTGACAACAATGCACCACCCATGGTTGCAGATGATTGGTTCACCCCTCAACCTAGAAAAGTGAGGTAGGGGCAGAATGGCCTTCGGGGGAAGTAGGTGATGGATGTGAGTGTGTAGAGGAGAAGAAGAGGAGGAAGAAGATGGTGAGAAGATAGGACTGAGACGGTTGGATAAGCATGTGCGGCGTGTTTCAGAGATCTGCCACGATGATGTGGTGCCTGCTGATCTTCATCACATGCATGAGCGAAACCGCCACACCGCTGAAAGAGGATTAGGAAATCACTTCTGTGACGTTCTGTCCAATTAATTTGTAATCTATGACCTAACCGCGTCCTAATTTACTCATTAGCCTGCCTGTTGCCCCGTTCCTGCTGTCCCATAACGATCAGCCCTAGATTTTCCGGATGCTAACAGGGCATCATGGCCATTTTGGGGGGTGGAAAGAAAAGCTTTGACCATGCGTGAGTAGGACCCAATTTTAAAGGAAAAACGGCAAATGAGGGCAAATTCTCATCAAATATTCTGATCATAGTCAAATTGGAGTAACGAGTCCAATTATTGGACTCATTAGTACAATAAATTTGGACCATTTCTCGATTTATGTGTGTCATCCTTGCGCAGGGGCCATGCTAATCTTCTCTGTATCGTTCCAATTTTAACGGATGTCCCGAAGGACAACATTAGTACAATACTACAATCCCAAAAATGATTAAATTGTTATACCGCCACTACCTCTGAGCCTCTCTTTCCCTTGGCAGATTTGTGCTGCGTGGCAAGTGCAAAACAAACTGGTGCGGTGCTCATTTTTTCTCTTTGGGGCTAGCACTGCCAGCCACAAAGGTCTGGGAGGCTGAGTCCCCGAAGAATGTGGTGGTAGACAATTTTGTCATAAAAGTTGGCCTGGGAGAGTTAGTGGTGATTTGAATAAACAATTTAAACAAATAAATAAACACATACTAAATGGAATTATTGTATGCTACGATACTGAAAAACTGGAAGCTCATATGCTAAGGTACTGAAAAACTGTTCAGGGATCAAATCACCATTAGTAAAGGCCCTCTCTTGTGGGTACAGTGTTCTATATGAGTCCTTGCATCCAAGCCCTGTCATTCCATTGACCAATGCCACAGAGTCTGCGCCCACCTGCCGATCAGCTGCCGACTCCCGTTCCGGGTCAATAAGTGAGTTGAAGTCGCCTGCAATAATGAGGTTGTTGATATCTGGGACTACCGTTTGCAGTCGTTCCCACATCCGGCGTGGTGTGCCTACCTCTGATGGCCCATGTACTGTAACCACCCCCTAGGTTACTTCCCCCCACTTCAACAGCACCCAGGCCCACCGACCCCTAGAATCATAGTACCAATCTGACACCTCTCCCCTGAAATGTGGGGAGATAGAATACAAACCCCTCCTCTCGTACCCTCCGCCGGGGCCCATACCTGATGGCCCTTCCACCATGACATTGGCTTTACTGTCCTGGCCTCATTCAGCTTAGTCTCCTGCAGGCACACCACATCAATTTGCTCTTCTTTGACTTTTTTCGCCAGCTCCCTCCGCTTGGGTAGCAGTGAATTAGCCCCCAGGCCTGTAACGTTCCAAGTCAGCAGTTTCAGTCTATTGCAGTTACTTCCTACTCCCATCCTTGTCTCTTCCAATCTAACTCATGCCCTACACTTCTCCGCCTTTCTATCCCTCCTACACCTGCCTAGTTAAACATTCTACTTCCAATCTTGCCTAAGCTTCTAACCTCCTCTATCAATTGCTGGGGGGATGTCTCCATCTAAGCAACACCCATACAAGATAATATACATCCCACATCCCTCCCCTCCCTACTGTAACCCCCTCACTCCCTACGCTCCCATCTACCCGTTCTGTTTTGGAACTGCTCCCCCCCCACTTGTTCCTCCTGCACCAGGCGCACATTGACGTTGTTAAGTACAGCCAGGGAGGCCGTATGTACCACATGATAATCCTGAGAGAGGGCCGTAGGGCCAAAGGCCTCGGCAAACCGTATCCAGTGCATGCCACTTACTCCCAGCCTCGGAGATCCTGGCCTCCTGGGAACGGCCTCCACAAAGTATATGAAAATTATATATTCCTCCCCATTCGCTGTCTGTCTAACAAATCGCGATGCCAGTATCTGGGGCAACACTACCACTTCATACCTCGGACCCAACCATCCAGCAACTTTCTTCAACACCTGCTGTTCCTGAGGCAATCTAGTCACTCCGAAAGTTGGCACCTCCGTTGCCCCCTCCCGGAGCAGTTTGATCTCTTCTGGTCTCCGCCAGAGGACTATCGGGCAAAGGTATGCTTCCCCTACCTTCATAATGTCCTTCAACCTAGCCCCCACTCGCTCCTGCCGTGCCAGCCCAGCCAGCTGATTTTTCGGATCCTGTCGCTGCTGACTCTCTTGCTCCTGCAGCCTCCGATTCTCTGAACTTTTTGACTCTATTAGTGCTACCCTTGCTTCTGACCCCTGCTCCTGCTGTGTGTGTTGTCCCTCTTCTGACGGCATGTCCTGTTCCTGCTGCCCCGTGGCCTGGTGAACTGATTGTTGGTCTTCCCCTGGGTTATCCGATGTCTCCGTTGTCGAGGTCCCTGACGAGTCCTCCTCCTCTTGACTGCTCGTCTGTGTCTCCATTCCCTCAACCCGGAGTCCAAAGCTAGCCTCTCTCGGGGGGACGGAGGTCAATGGCGATGGCTACTCATCCCTTCTTCCTTTCCCCTCAACCAATACCTTGGTTCGTACCCCTTGCTTCCTAACGGGGATTGCTGCCTTTCCCTTGTTTTCTTTAGACTTGCACGCAAGGTCTCTGGTAACGTCTGCTGTCCCGACTCCGCCTGACTTACATGCCCTTCACGTTTCGATTCAGCTGTGGTTGAAAAGAAGGCTGGGACCGGGAAGCACTCAGCCGATGAAGAACTCTTCCCACCTGTTTCCGTCTGTGCCAATATCTTATCGGCGATCGCTCCCTCCTGACCTGTTCTGCTATTATTGGCATTTCATACATGGGCCTATCCAGTTGCTGTCGCGTACCCGACTCAGCCTGTCCTATCTCATTCTGCCCCAGTCCTGGCAGACCCTCACCTTCGTCCCTCTCCCTTTTTACACTTTCATTCGCCTCCTCTCCTTCATCTTTCTGTGTTGCCTCTTTGCCCCGGGCTTCCCCTTGTCCACCTTTTCGATCTCTCCCATCTGAGCCCCGGCTGATACCGATTCCCCCTCTCCCCCCTCCTCCATCTTTGTCCCCTTAGTGAGACTGCGGCCCAGTTCCACCGTTTTCACCTTCCTATCGCCCGCATCTCCCTCTTCCTTCCCTCCTGCTCCTCCCTCCCCGCCCCGTTCATTATGATGCCCTCCTCCTTCTTTCTCCTCCCATCTTCGATTAGCCTGGCCAGTCATTTTCTCTTGCCCCACCTCCTGCCGACTACACTCCCCCCTTTCGTCACCCACCCGCTTGCCCTCGGTTGACTCAAATTGTTCGACCGTCCTATCCTCCCTTTCTCCCTTTCCGGGCTCCTTCCCCTCAGGTCCTTTTCCCCTTAAATCCCCTCCTGCCACCACTTCTTGACTTGTACTCGCCATTTTAAGTCCTCTCCCTTGCTCCGGCACCTGTTCCGCTTTCCTTTTCCGCTCGTCCCCAAACAACCACTGCGGCTTGTCGGCTTGCATGAGGTCATCCCCTCTCCCTGCCCACACCACATTTCGACGGTATCTCCCTCCCCACTTTGCCGGCTTCCTACGTCTTCGGTCCTGACGGGGTTGGCTTGCTGCCTTCCCCCACGCCTGCGCTGCTGTCCTTGCCTCGTTCAGCAGGGCTCCATCCATCTGGAACTCCAAATCATGTCAGGCCCTCCTCTCTTGTTGGGGATCCGACTGCAATATGGGGGCCATGGCACATCTCGTCTCCCTATCATGCAGCTCCTGTAGAGTCTCAGCCGCCGTCAGACGTATTCTGTGCAAGTTCATGTGACCATGTGTGAAGCACACTTCACAGAAAGGTGTTTCACTCGTTGTCACCCAAACCTCCTCAAAACTGTAGGGCCCTGTAGCAACTGCCACACCATTCTTCAATGGGTTCTTCAGCGGGCCGTCAACAACATATCTCACATACTCCCGTTCCTCATCGTCCAACACTTGCTCACTAACTATCAGGCCCAAAAATTACTCCACTGCCCCCCTCATCCATTTAGCCGCCAAGAGGGAGGACTTGTATACCTTTACCCATGGCCGCCATTTCCGATCGAGCATTCTGGCCGCATTCATCTCTGCAGGCAGCTTCCACGGTTGGTATGTCACTTGACCTTGCACCTCTGCAGCATGCAGCTCGTCCCCCTTTTTTTCATTTATAAGCCACTCCCTTAGCTCAACCGCCGGCGCTAGGTAGGTGACAATTATGTCGCCCTCCGTGTCAATTTCCCCTCACCACGGGCCTCTGCCCAACATCCATGCTTCTTCCATATGACCTACCCATTCCCGCTTCATCTTGCTTGACGCCACTGTATGCGCCTGTACATACGTGTTCTGCAAGTACATTATTTTGTTTGTAGGACGCGCCATACACGCTCCGCCATGTATCGCATGCTCCACCAAACCAGCCCCCTCGACCGGCCGACGTAGCAGATATGAGCGCCTCAGAATCTGCATGAGGTGCCACCGTTCTTGTACCATCCCCTCCATTTCTACCCCGGTCCCCCTTCCCCCCACTTCTATCTACTATCCTTTCGTATCCATTATTAACTACAATCGTTCTTTCTCCCCTCTCCTAAACTCCCTTCCTTATATTGTAGCCTCCTTCTCGTTCCTTGTAATGGTTCGACCCCCATCCACTAGCTGAATCCGCTCCCACGCTTACCGGTAGTTACCCTTTCCGAACGCTGCCGAGGACCTCCTCGCATCAACGCGAGGTCAGCTAGATCCCAAGGACCCGTTCACCCGAATCACCGTGTTACCCGGCCCATTGATTCATCGGGAGGAGCTATGAAATCTCCGCCCGTGTGGTTACCTCCACTTCCAATCTCCCCCTCAGCCACTTCTCACCTTCCGAAGTTCAGCATCCCCTATTCCCCCCTTTCTTACCCCTAAGTCCTACCTCCCCCCCTCTCTTTGACCCTGCGCAACTACCACCTCTTTCTTCGACACCGACTTCACTCCCTGACAATTTCCCCCCCCGCATTTATACCGTCCTTCTCCTACATCAAATGAGCCTATTACCCAAGCTCCAGTGTCTGTGCACTGCTTGGGCAACCGTCGCGCAGTGCCGGTGAGACGCCACCCATAGCCGGTTGAACTTGACCCTGCCCGAGTTGTCGACGTCACTTGCCTAGTCAGCCGGTCAAAGAGAAAAAATTTGTGCGGCATTTCACCACACGAAAAAGCCGAAACCCTACCCACGGCTGCCTTGCACGTGGTGCACTAAAAAACTGCGCTAAAACTGCGCTGTTCCTGCCAAAACCCCACCATCATGTTTTTCTCTTTGTGTGTTGTGACATTATCCATCTAGATTCTCATTATCTGTTTACTATCAGTTTATTCAGTCACATGGGCTGGTTATTGTGTGAATGATTTCATTCCTACCTTTTCTTGACGCTCTTTGTCCTTTGTCTGTCTCCCTTTCTGGTGTTCACAGGTTTGCATCTGTTTCTCCCATTGTTGGGTCAGTGTGCAGCCATCACAAGAGGAGTGTTGTGCCGGAGGGGAGCTATGGTGCCAATTTTTATCAATTCTTTATGGACCTCAGCAGCAGACATGGACACTCAGTATTTGTTGATCAGGTAGGTCAATAACTGTGGGATTGTTTCTCCAGGTGGCTGACCCTGAGCTGTCTCCCTGCTCACACTAGGAGGAAGAGGGTAGTGTGGAAGGGACAACTAACTTCTTCCCAGGGACAACTAACTTCTTCCCAGTTCTGGGAATGTGACAATGATGAAAAACAGTTTTGGACAGTATGACCAGCCTATCTTTTAATTTTGGTACCATGGTAAAAAGAAGGTATGCCGCATCCGTGAAATAGTTATGAAAGATGAATGGAAAATATTTGTGATCCCTAACATCACAACCAGTGATGCTGACTAGCATTGTAACCTTCATCATTTCATCACTGGGCAAGGTCTGACGATTGTGATCCAGTGATGCTGACTAGCATTGTAACCTTCATCATTTCATCACTGGGCAAGGTCTGACGATTGTGATGCCAGTCAGGATTACTGCTTGAGATTTTTGCAGTCTGTCTTCCATTCATCTTTCACAATCATTTCAGACATCTGCCACACCTTCTTTTTACCATGGTTTGTTAATTGATAAGCAGGGTGTACTATTGCAAACAGTTTCTCGTCATGGACACATTCCAAAAGTATTTCCACAAATCCCTCGTGATCATCACACCTTCATTACTGTCATTACTGTGCAGGTCACTGTGATGTGACATGCGGGGAACTCCCATACAGGACTAGGAGGCTCGGCCTTCATTTAGGGATGCCCTCAGACTGCCTGGCCCCGATAGTGCGGAGCTAGGACTGAGGGCGCGGTGGACTTCTTTTGGCCTTACTTTCTTCTTTCTTTCAGGAAGGCGTGTCTTTATTCTGGTCTGTATCTTGAGTTCTCTTTGGCTCTCCCATGATCCCGCTCCACTCGTAATGCAAGACATTTTTGAGACAATGTAATGACCTGCCAAACACGGACCAAGACACGCAGCTGATTTCTGAGTTTTGCTCATGGAATGTATGCCTCACTGAGTTTCCCGCTTGTTGCTGAGTTTTCTAAGTCTGTGTGGGTGTGTGCTTGCTGGTCTGCATGCCTGTCTGAGTGCTCGTCGGCTTGAGTGCGTGTGTGACCCGCAAGGGCACTTGGTTGTTCGGATGGCCCGAAGGGCCGGTACTAACCTGTGGCCGTGAGATTGAGGGTTGCAGCAGGGAAAACACTCAAGTGGCCGGGCGGCACTTAGAGCAGCGGGAAACACTCAAGTAGCAGGTAGGCCAGTACCACACCAAGTAGAGGTAGATGTGCCAGGTACTCGAGGCCGAGCAGCAGAAGATAAAAGTTGGCATTTTTAGAGGCCCAGTAGTTGTAGGCTAGGTCTAGGCGGGCACCAGTCCAGCCAGTCTGAGTCTAGGGCCTGTACGGGCAATATCAGAGTCTGCAATGATGTTTACGCGCGGCCTAGGAAGTCACTTGTCAAGAGGCAAGCAGGCCGCTATATCTCTAGGAGGAGCAAGGTGCTCCTCCTCATTGTCGGTGTGCAAGTTTGGCGACACACTGGTTGGAGCGCTGGCTGGAGCAGCGCCAGCACAGAGCTGCGCTGCTGGGGAAGGAGCAAGGACAGGAGGCGGAAGAAGACCAGGACTAGGAAGGGGGAGCGCCAGAGGTACTTACCTGGCTATGGTGGTTGCCAACTTCATCACCTTGGTGGGCGCTGCAGCAGGAAGGCCCCAGTTGGGGTAGAGCTACACCAAGAAGCTTCGAGGCAGACTCGGGCATGGCGACCTGAGCTAGAGCAGCCATAGCTGCTTTGTGTTGTCCTTTGCACAGCAGGGCGATGCCCTGGTAGTTCGCCATAGCCTCGGCGTTGGAGGAAGAGGAAGAAGGGTGGCCATGGCTATGGTGGACCTCATGTGATACCTGCAGTAGAAGAGGGATTCGGACATGATTCTAGTTCAGCCATTCAACATTATTATCATGATTTCTTGTTTGAATAAGAGGGGAGGAGATAAGGAGGAGGAGAGTATTGGCGAAGAAGAAGAGCATTATGATTGGTCTATGTTGGTGTACATCATCGTCTTCTTCTTTCTTTCTTCTTCTTCTTCTTCTTCTTCTTCTTCTTCTTCTTCTTTCCCTCTCTCTCCTCTCAAGTTTATTCATTTCTTTTTGCAATTGGACGGCCTTGTACTTTCTCATGAATGTGCACTTCGAAATTGGCCAGGATCATAACATTGGTATCAGAGCGGATTGTACTTGCTGGTGAGAGTTGACTTATCGACCCTAACCCTAACCTAAGTGGGTCGGGCTGACCACTTGGGGTTAGGGTTGGTCTGAAGTGGGAAGTGGGGCAGCATGGATTAGGGAAGCTGTCCCCACCTGGTTAGGTCGTGTTGGGTCGACACTGAACCTGACCAGGTTGATTGAGAGTGAGCTTGTGGTGGCAAGACACATCAAGAGGACTTCATGGGACAATTTGAGAGAGGCGACAGTGAGAGGCACTTGCACCTGGAATCTGACCTAAGGGAGACACTTGGTGACTTAAGGGCCTCCCTCAAGTAGGCGATGTTGAGGGAGGTAGCCATTCTGCATCTACGGAGTGCAAGTTGCTTCTTTGTTCTTCTACATTGGCGGGGGGTCCGCCATTGCACTTTGGTGTTGGAGTCAAACCCTCCTACATGATAGGACACACTGTAGAGGTAGCGATTAGGGTGAGGGAGACCATATGAGGAAGGGGGGTGAGTTATACTTCATCTCAGAGTCCAGGCCACTCAGGTAAGTGTCGTGTTTTTAAGAGTTGCCCATGTGTGCGTCCATGGTACTGTTTGTCCTGTTGGGGTATTTCTAGGTCTCTTTCCTACTCCTCTGAAGTCTAGGTTGTGTGCACTGGTGTGGAGCTACTTACTGACCTGATGGATGGAGAGATGAAGTATCTTGCTTTGAATGCCATATCTTTCTACAATGCTTTGTCTTTTCATTCTGAGCGGATGTAGTTTGTAGGTTCTCTCTTAAAGTTGAAATTTGTTTTTCAGTACGGTAGAGGCAGAAAGTAGGACCTTGTGATACTCTTCTTGCTTGGGACTTGGTCGCGACCTACATGGGACCCATTGGGACTCAGCGGGACTAGGCCCGAACAAGAAGGGCCCATTGGACTCAAATCTGTTGATGCAGTGTCGCTCTCGTTTCTCTCTAGAATTCATTGCTTTTCTTTT